CACCTGCAGTCGATCCCCGGGGACATCTGGGGGAATTAATTAATTAATTAACGGGACACCTGCAGTCACGGTTCAGTAATTAACTCCAGAGCTGCAATTAATCCCCTTTGGACACTCTGGTTAATTAATTAATGGATTCATTGGACGTCTGGGGTAGATCACCACTAATTAATTGATTAATTGGTCATCTGTGATCAGTCCTGATTGGTTTATTTATTAATTAATTGGACCCCTGTCATTAATCCTCAGATTAATTATTGTGATTAACTACAATTAATTAATTAGACCCATGTGATTAATCTTGATGGATTGATTAATTAATTCATTGGATGCCTGTGATTAATCCTGATTAATTAAATAATTAATTAATTGACCCTTTGCGATTAATCCCAATTAATTAATTTGTTAATTGGCCCCCTGTGATTAATCCTGATTAATTAATTATTTGGGCCCCCATCATCAGCCCAGATTGATTAATTAATTTATTTATTTATTGTCTGTGATTGATCCCAATGAATTAATTAATTGGACGTCTGTGATTAATCCCCATTAATTAATCAATTAATTACCCCTCATGATTAACCCAGATTAATTAATTAGTTAATTGTCCCCATTGATCAATTAATTAAAAGGACCCCTGTGCTAAATCCCAATTAATTAGTTAACTGGATGCCTGTCATTAACCCTGATTAATTCATTAAAAGTCTGACTGAGTTTTTAATTAATTAATTAACTGGATGTCTGTGATTAATCCCAATTGATTAATTGTCCCTCCGTGATTAATTCCAACGGCTCAACTAATTAATTAATTAAGGGGTCACTTGTGATTAACCCTCATTAATTCATTAAACATCTGATATTTAATTAATAACACCTGATAATTAATTAATTAACTGGATACCCATCCTTAACCCTGATTAATCCATTAAACGCCCGATTGAGTTTTTAATTAATTAATTAACTGATTAATTAATTATCTGGAGCCCTGTGATTAATCCCTATTGATTGATCGACCCCCCCAGGATTAATTCAACAGAATCAACCAATAAATTAATTAACAGGACGCCTGTGATTAATTCCAGTGGCTCAACCAATTAATTAATTAACAGGCCACCTGTCGTTACCCCTGATTAATTCATTAAATGCCTGATTGATATTGTAATTAATTAATTAATTAACTGAATGCCTTTCATTAACCCTGATTAATTCTCTAAACACCTGATTTTTTAATTAATTAATTAACTGGACACCTGTGATCGATTGATTGTCCTCCCGTGATTAATTCCAACAGCTCAACCGATTAATTAATTACCAGGACACCTGCAATTAGTTCCAGTGGCTCAACCAATTAATTAATTGGTTACCCCTGACTGATATTTTAATTAATTAATTAATTAACCGAATGCCTGTCATTAACCCCGATTAATTCCCTAAACACCCGATTTTTTTTTCCAATTAACTAATTAACCGGATCCCTCTCCTTAACCCTGATTAATTCGTTAAACACCCCAGTGATTAATTAATTAATTAA